GTCGGAAATCCGATCCAATATATAAACAAACAGACACACACACACACACACACACACACACACACACACACACACACACAATCTATTTTATAATAAGTAAGATTTGATGAATGTCGACTCTCTTCCCGCTACTCAATTCCGGTTCCTCTGGTCAGTTTCGAACGCTTTACATGGATTGCTGCTTTAAAACGACTCAACTAGAAACAGTGTTTATGTCAATTCAGTGTCTGATTTTACGGAAGGAACTTGTAATATTTGTGAACTTCCCTTCTAATTCCAGCAGGTACACAGTATCAGCAATTTGGAGTGGTTAACGGTGAATCGCCTCCTTCCAAGGCAAGACGTTTTCCGTTACCTTTGTTGTAAACAATGCATTTTTAATCGCTTGTGTTGGTTGTTTTCAAAAATAGATTGTGTTTGTTTCGTTTAAGCTGAGAATCGCAGATAGGAAAACGGTCCATGATGTTTTTCCATTAAATCATGAATGTTTTCAGATGCCTTACGACGCTCATATGGGGGGGGGAGTACATCTGTGATGTCCTATGTAGTGTCACCTGGTTTCATCTTTCGATTTGATCATCATCAAAGACTTCAGTCCTGTCAGACCGTTCTCGGTTGTCCAAATGGAAACATTCACTTTTAAACATTTCGAAAAACAACAAATAACAACAAAATAAGCCTTACGAACAGTACTTTCAGCTATGGCACCATCTCCATAAATGGCACCTATACATTTGCCGTTATAGAACTTTTTTTTTTCACTTTTAATGTAAACACTTTTAAAATTCAGAATCCACACATGAATTGTAGATAAAGTCTTTCAGAATACGTCTACATATCACAAACTTCAGTCAACATGTCCAGACGTCACCTATTGATAAACGAGACAAACTTTTGCTAAAACAGAATAATTAACTTTTATCCTTGATTCTGCTTTTTATAATGAGGACAGGGGAGTTGGAAAGCATAATACTCACAGGGCATATTGGAGCAAGAGAGATAAAGGAAGACAGCCACACACCCGAGGAGCTTGTTGAAATGCGTGGCCAAGCGTGGGGTGGGACCCTTAGCAAAGGGAGAAGGAAAGTGAGTTACAACGGATAGGAAGTTGTGGAGAGCCATGATCGCCTATGTCTGGACGGGACGCGGAATAAGACCATTGCAATTTATCTGCCGTCTTTAATAAAAGGGGTTATATGAATTTTCTTTTACTTTGGGGAATGCTTAGCTTCTCTCTTGTTCCCGTTTTTTTTTTTCTCTCAAATTCTTTTATTTTTTTTTCTGTTTGCTCCTTAATTTCAGCGTTTCATGCCCCTCTCCCTATCATTGCACTAAAATGACCGATTCATTTCCTTTCTTGAAAAAAAATGGATCTTCATAATCCAACGTTCATTACTCCTGAATGCGCACCTGCCTTTTCTAGGCAGATTCACAAGCAACCACCGATAGAGTG